TTACTCTTAAGTCCTTCACAGGGATCATATAAATTAATCTTCTCAAAACATTTAAGGAAGGTACTAATATCCTAATTTACAGAAAAGAAAATGAAATCTCAATCAAAAGACACAGCCAAAACCCAACGGCATGTTACATCCAGACCTGTTTCACATGCAAGGATACATAAAGACTCAAAACTAAGGAATGGAGAAAGATTTACCAACCAAATGGAGAGCAAAAATAAATAAATAAATAAATAAAAAGCAGGAGTTGCAATTCTCATATCGGATAAAATAGACTTTAAAGCAACAAAGATATAGTGGTAAAAGAATCAATACAACAACAAGAGCTAACGATCCTAACACCCAGATACATAGAGACTTAGATTCAATGAGACAGAAAATTAATAAGGATATCAAGTACTCGAACTCAGATCCGGAACAAGTAAACTTAATAAATATTTATAGAGCTCTCCACTTCAAATACACAAAATATACATTCTTGTCAATACCACATCACACCTACTCATAGGTTTAAATGAAACATTGATTGGCCATTATTAATACCCATTTTTTTTTTCAGAATAAAGCAATATTTCTGTTCACCCTCCCTCTCTCTCTTCCTCTTTCTTTCTCTCCTTTACTCATTTTTTTTTCTTTCCTTCTCTCAAAAAAAGAAATCAACTTGTAAACCTCTAGATCCAGGTTGGCAATGTCTCTCTCATTGCTTGAATTCCTTTCTTCCCTTCCCTCCCTCCCTCCCCTCACTTCCTCCCTTCCTTCCTCCCTCCCTTCCTGCCTTCCTCCCTTCCTCCTTCCCCCCCCCCAAAAAAAAAAGAAAAAAAATGAAATCTCAGAGAAATTAAGTAATTTCCCAAGGATAGAAATGACTAGATCAGACACTCTTATATAAGTTACTCTGCTTCCTCATGATACATATTTATGTTGTGAGCCAGAATTCCTAATCATCACAACATTCTCCATAATAAATTAATTTTCCAATTTATAAATTAATTAATTTATTTATTGAGACAGAGTCTCACTCTGTCGCCCAGGCTGGAGTGCAATGGCCCAATCTCAATTTACTGCAACCTCTACCCCCTGGGTTCAAGCCATTCTCTTGCCTTAGCCTTCCAAGAAGCTGGGATTACAGGTACCTATAACCACACTCAGCTAATTTTTGTATTTTTAGTAGAGATGGGGTTTCACCATATAGGTCAGGCTGATCTACAACTTCTGACCTCAGGTGATCTGCCCACCTCAGCCTCCCAAAGTGCTAGGATTACAGACATGTGCCACTGTGCCCAGACTGTAATGTTATTTACTTATTTTTTGAGACGGAGTCTCACTCTGTCGCCCAGGCTGGAGTGTGGTGGCGTGAGCTCAGCTCAATACAGCCTCTGTCCCCCTGGTTCACGCGATTTTGCCTTAGCCTTCTGAGTAGCTGGGATTACAGGCACACACCACTGCGCCTGGCTCAGTTTTTTGGTATTTTTTTAGAGATGGGGTTTCACCATCTTGGCCAGACTGGTGTTGAACTCCTGACCTTGTGATCCACTGGTCCCGGCCTCCCAAAGTGCTGGGATCACAGGCATGAGCCACTGTGGCTGGCCTGTAATGTTATTTATAATTATAAATTTGTTGTGGTCTTAGAGTTCTTTAAAGAGCTAAACACTAGTTTAGAGTTTAGAACTAGTTTAATGTGTGTATATATTTATATGATATATAGGTGAACACTGGGCTCCTTATGAAATTGTTCTTCTTTAAAAGGGTCTGCATATCCTTCCAAATGTTCTGCAGCCTTTCAAAAATACTGCTAAAAGACCTAGGGTACCCTGGTTGGTGTGTGAGGGTATATATGCAAAGTCTTGGTATGAACAAAGTTCATTTCCTGAAGAATAAATTTTCTTCAATGGCAAATAAATTAGATCTCTTTTATATTGCAATAAATATCTATTATGCTCATGATGCAAAATTTGCATTTAAAGATAGAAAATTAGCCTCCATTCAAATCTTGCTGAGGGAAGGTTGAATCCTTAAGAGATAGGTTATTTCTCCTGCCTTCACAGGTTCTCTGAAGAAAGAGTTTGAGAAGCTTTACCTAGGTCAGAGATGAAGGAAAAAGAAAGTTTTTATTCAAAATGCTGCTGAAGTTAATTATTTTCTTTCTTAAAAAATTATCCCTTGATGCCAGCTACCACTTCATTTTTTGCTCCTCTACAATGCAGAACCTCTTCAAAGTATTGCCTATACTTTGTTATGGCTTCCTCACCTCTAAATTTCTCTTTGTAACACCCCAACCCTAGAATGGTTTTATCAAGGTTATAGATTACACTCATGTAACCAAATTCACTGTCACGTTCTATGGTTTTATCCTCCTCCTCTGCAGCATTCAACAGTCTCTCTTTCATTTTTAAATTTTGGTTTCCCTCTCCTACTTTTCCTTCTACCACACCTGCTTTTTAATCTTTGTGGATTTCTCTACTTTCCTCATCTCATATCCAGTCCATCAGTAATTTTTATCTTCCTTTTGTCTCCAAGATTCTCTTTTATCTCCAAGATGTATTCCAAGTCCGTTACCTTCTTCTATCTACACAACTACCATCCTAGTCAAACGTATAATTTCCTTTCCCCAATCTACTAAAATACAGTTTTCTCATGGGTTTCCCTTTTTCATTTCTGTCCCATTCTGTACACAACCAACAAAGTGATTATTCAAAATGATCAGACTGTTTCCCCTGTTTATTGTAGTACTTTAGATAAAATCCAAATTCCTAACCCTAATTTATGAAACTCTCTATGATTTAGCCCCTGCCCATTTCTCTGTTCCCTCCTCACTCCCATAAGCCATGCTGGCTTTTTTCTTTTCTTTTCTTTTTTGAGACAGAGTCTTGCACTGTCACTTGGACTGGAGTGTAATAGCACGATCTTGGCTCACTGCAACCGCCGCCTCCTGGGTTCAAGAGATTCTCCTGCCTCAGCCTCCCAAGAAGCTGGGATTACAGGCGCCTGCCACCATGCTTGGCTAATTTTTTGCATTTTTAGTAGAGATGGGGTTTCACTATGTTGGCCAGGCTGGTCTCGAACTCCTGACCTCGTGATCTGCCAGCCTTGGTCTCCCAAAGTGCTGGGATTACAGGCCTGAGCCACTGCGCCATGCTGACTTTTTTTGACCTTTCTATCTTGTCAAGCTTGTTTTTACCTAAGGTCTTTTACTAAATGTTCATTGTTCTTGAAATTCTTTCTGTTCTGATCTTAAAGGGCTGCTCCTTGTCATTCAGGTTAACACTCATACTTCATTAGACAAGTCTTTTCTGAAACCTATCTTTACTAAGTCGCCTCAATTTTAATACTACATATTATTAGCTGGTATTTTTTGCTTTGTTTGACTATTGTCAATCTTGCCCACTAGATTATGAATTCCATGAGAAACAAGGTTCTAATCTGTCTGGTTCACCACTGTATTTCTTTTTTTTTTTTTTTTTAGACAGAGTTTTGCTCTTGTTACCCAGGCTGGAGTGCAATGGCGCGATCTCGGCTCACTGCAACCTCCGCCTCCTGGGTTCAGGCAATTCTCCTGCCTCAGCCTCCTGAGTAGCTGGGATTACAGGCACGCGCCACCATGCCCAGCTAATTTTTTTTTGTATTTTTAGTAGAGACGGGGTTTCACCAGGTTGACCAAGATGGTCTCGATCTTTTGACCTCGTGATCCACCCGCCTCGGCCTCCCAAAGTGCTGGGATTACAGGCACTGTATTTCTTAATACCTAAATCGGTGCCTGTTACATAACAGATTCTCATTGTTGAATAGCAAGTGAGTAGACCTAAATCTATAGAATGGCTATAAACCTGATCCAGCCTCAAGGTAATTCAGGAGAAAAGTCAATGAGTCTCTCCTAGTCCAGACCCAAGTACAGGAGGGAAGGAAAAGATGTCTAGAAGCAACCTGATCCCGGGAGGTGGGAGTATCCTAAAAACAGTATGTACTAACCAGACTGCCATTCAAAAACTACTGTACTTTTTTAGTCCTTACTAGACATATTCTAGACACTGTCAGAGGTGCTAGTTAACAAGAGTACCCATCCACAAGGAGCTTATAGCTGATGCCTAGCAAGCAATGAAAGTTATTATATAACTGCTGAACACATATTACATTATCTCTGTGGAGAAAAGTGGGACTCAAGTATTCTAAAATGGCTAGCAAATAAGAGTATTAAACCTCAGTATTTTGTATCTAGCTGCTTACCAATTTCTGCATTAAAATTTTATGTACCTAATTCAAGTTTTATAAGACTATGATACTATTTTAATGGGATAGTGTCTAGTTATTAAAGACTTAGCCACATAAAAAGATGTATGCACCCACATTTATGTAAAAAATCTGAAATAAAACTAAACACATACTCGGCTCACTGCAACCTCCACCTCCCAGGTTCAAGTGATTCTCATGCCTCAGCCACCTGAGTAGCTGGGATTACAGGCATGTGCCACCATGCTCAGCTAACTTTTTGTATTTTTAGTAGAGATGGAGTTTTGTCATGTTGCCCAGGCTGGTCTTGAAATCCTGAGCTCAGGCAATCTACCTGCCTCAGGCTCCCAAAGTGCTAAGATTACAGGCATGAGCCACCACACCCAGCCTTCTTTGGTAGTCTTGAAGCACCAGTTTCAAAACAATAATGCATTTTCAGGAGTTCCACTATGAAGAATGACAGTATTTTCAACACTGGAGAAGTAAGAAGCAACATCATGGAAAATAAATAGTTAAAAATCCATGTCACATTTGTAGTATTTTTTTTTTCTAGTGTAATTCATCTCTTTGGTTTGGCTTTGGTAAAAGTATAATATTTGCATATAAATACTGAATAATATATAGCGCTCCTTCGCAATGTGTTTTTATTTAAAAAGTAAGTTCTGGATAAAAGTTCTGAAAAAATATTCTCATTTCAAAACCAAGCAATTGTTTCATTTTCATTATATATATATATAAAAATAAAATCACAAATTGCACAGGAAACCTACCATTCCATAGGCCTGCTGTTGGACCCAGTTGATATAATCATTCCTTATGTCTATCAATTCTTGTACTTCATGTATATAAAATTTATCATACTGTATAATCTGTCCCGTTTTCTCATTTACCTACAAGAGAAAGTATAATTGACATTAAATTTAATCAGTACTCAAGACAGAAATTTAAAATGCCTAAAGAAAAAAAAGCTTTGGGGATTTTCTTGCTAATTTTTTCTTCCTACAAAAAATAATTACTGAGTGCCTACTATATGCAAAATGCTAGTTAAGTGCTATGGAAGACACAAAGATTTGTAAGATGTGATGTCTGTAGTCAGTACCCCAAAATCTAGAAAGGAAAGACACATCTTTATAACCACAACACGGTATGAGATATGTATCATTAAAGTGCATATGGTACATATAAACTAGATACTATAAGGATTTATGGTTGGGATATGGGACCTTAATAATAATAGCAGCTAATGCTTGTTAAGTGTTGTTCTGTGCTGGCATCTGATCAGAATAAACTTTAGGAGGTGATATCTGGACAAGATATGAAAAATGAAGAGGATGCAAATTACCACCCCAGAGATTATCTACTAACTACAAAGGCAAAAACAAATATTTACAGTGGAGAACACCATCTTAATTAAGTGATCTAACTAATCATTACCAATACTGGAACAATGAAATATAACATTCTTGATGATATAACTCAACAAGAGGCATACATATGATCTATGAAGTAAAAACAGTTTAACCCAAATCCAATCAAGTCTCCTAATCTAAATTCTAATTTATTGCAAATACAAGGGAGAGATAAACTAGTTAAATAAACATCACCATGAGGAAATAATCAGACAAATCCTGATTATGAAACTTTTATAAGAAAACTGGCCAAGACTCTTCAAAAAATCAAGGTAGTAGGGATTTTAAAAAAAAAAAGGTAGGAGCTATTCTACATTAAATGAGACTAGAGGAATTCTGGTACTAAATATGGCAGAATACTTTTGTATCAGTATTAACAATTATAATTAACATCAACAATTATAAGCTTTAGACAATACATTAAAGAACAACTACTGTACTTAAAAACACTGGAGATCAACCAAAAGTAGACAGAAACAGGAATGGATACAAGTAGAGGACAGAGCTCAAGCAGAAAACAGCAGTCTTAATAGACAAAGACTGAAGCTGCCAGCACAGCCAGATAGTGAGGAATAAAAAATCAAAGAAAGGAATCTAGAGGACGAAGCCCCAAAATCTGTGTGCAAATTCCACCTACATCCTTTGCTAACTCTAAACCATGAATGCACAAAGACTTGCCAAAAATAAATAAAACCCAAACCAACTTGCACAGCTGGGGGGCTACTCTTAAAGTAAGGGTTCAAAAAAAGCATTTCCAGAGGAAAAGGGGCACATTTCATAATAATAGAAGGATTAATTCACCAAGAAGTCACAACAATCCAAAACAGCAGAGATTGAAAATATATGAAAGAGAAATCAACAGAACCACCATCATAGTTGTAGATTTTTAACATCCCCTCTCATTAACTGATAGAAAAAAATAAACAAAACCAGCAAGTATAAATGATCTGAATAACAATTTCAAACAACTTGCACTCACTGTCATAGAACTTCACCCAATAATTGTACATGAAATGTTCACTAAGATAGACCTGGACCATACTGTAAGTCTTAATACATTTAAAAGAATCCAAAGTATACAACATATGTACTCTGTCCACAATGGAATCAAACTAAAATCAGTAACAGAAAGAGATTTGGAAAATCCTAGAATGCTGTCAATTAAATATAACACTTCTAAGTTACTGAAAACTTTTCTTGAACCTGTGAGAGAGCTAAAGTTACAAGATAACCAACTAGCCTGAATTCCAAGGATCAACAAATACTTACAAGTCAGGGTACCAGAAATGGCTCATTTGTGGCAGAGAGCAAGAGGAAACTACTACTGTCACACAAGCAGAATATGGTAAAATTTTAAGGATCACTTTAAAGCTGAGTGTGGGGTGGCTTGACAGTATGAAAACTCTGCAGAGTCCCAGGCAACTGGCAAAATAGCCTCTTTTCCATAGACTGCCACTGGGTACCCAGGAAAACAACTGGAAACACGGCAGAGGGGGTAGAGAAAAAGAAAAAGAAACAAGGCAGAAGATCAAGAACCTCTCTCAATGGTACAAGGAATTAGCTGCCACATGAGAAAGGAACGAAGGCCCACCACCCTGTCCAGATCCTTCCCTCACACAGAGAAAAAGCCTTGAGCTACTGAGGAAGGGGAATCAAACCTCTATCTTGTTGCTGAGGGATGAAAAAACCTTCAATTCCTGGGAGGAAAGGTGACAAGAACAGTCCTAGGTTTAGAATCTTCTATCAGTAGGACTAGTGGTCTACAATTGCTAAGGGAGGCAGCAGAAACTTCCACACAAAAAGATCCAAGCAGAGTTTGGCTGCCACAGGGAAGAGGTTAGGTAGATTATATGTGTCTGAACCTCGAATGGAACTTGAGTTCAGACACATATAATTTATCGAAGATCAAGGCTACATCACAACAACCAAGAACCATTTCTGTTCCCTGTCCTCTACCAATCTTAAAAGCACTGAGTAAGAAGCAACAACAGTTTACAACTGACGGGGAAAGAGTGAGAAGAAAACCCCTCTAAGGAGCAGGCATCAAGAAAGGGGCACAAACATTCACAAAAACCATTTGACACCCCACTTCCACCCTATACACTATACTATAGGCCTCCAGTTCCTCTAATGTTAGAGGCCTCAAATTCCTCTAGCATTAGAGGCCTGTAGTGTAATGAAGGTATTTACAGCAAATTAAAAATTCAATCCCAGCTTAACTCCTGAATACAGACTCAAATCCTTACACTAATACCAGACAGAAGAGGTGTACCCATTTATTAGCTTTAAACCTACTTATTTCAGTTTCTTACTACTTTATAGATAACCCAAAATTGAGACATACAAAAATCAACTGAACAGGCCGGGCATGATGTCTCATGCCTGCAATCCCAGCACTCTGGAAGGTTGAGGCAGGCAGATCATCTGAGGTCAGGAGTTCAAGACCAGCCTGGCCAACATGGTGAAACCCCACGTCTACTAAAAATACAAAAATTATCTGGGTGTGGTGGCACATGCCTGTAATCCCAGCAACCTGGGAGGGTAAGATACAAGGATCACTTGAACCCAGAAGGTGGAGATTGCAGTGAGCAGAGATCATGTCACTGCACTCTAGCCTGGGTGACTAGTGTGAGACTCTGTCTCAAAGAAAACACAAAAAACCTGAACAAAACAAAAAACTGTCTAAAGACAAAGCAGTCAACAAAAGACCCAAATGTTGGAGCTAGGAAACAGGGAGGAATGCGCTTTAGGAAAATATTTTCAATTTAAAAGTCGTAACATCAAAATCTGTGGGACGCTAATGACTCCAGGCACAAAAGAAACTATAGCATTAAATGATCATATTAGGAATAAAGGGTCTAAAATCAATGATCAATGTTTCTGCTTTAAGAATCTAGAAGAAGGTCCACGCCTGTAATCCCAGCATTTTGGGAGGCTAAAGCAGGGAGATCACTAGGTCAGGAAATCAAGACCATCCTGGGTAACATGGTGAAACCCTGCCTCTACTAAAAATACAAAAAATTAGCCAGGCATGGTGGCACGTACCTGTAGTCCTGCTACTTGGGAGGCTGAGGCAGGAGAATCATTTGAACCTGGGAGGCAGAAGTTGCAGTGAGCCGAGATCGCACCACTGCACTCCAGCCTGGGCAACAGAGTGAGACTCTTTCACCACAAAAAAAGAAAAAGAATCTAGAAAAAGATCAAATTAAGCACAAACCAAGCAGAAGGAAATAAAGAACAGAAATCAATGAAAGAGAAAACAGAAAAACACTAGAGAAGAAATTAAAAGCAAATGGGTTTTCTGAAAAGATCAATAATGAATAAACCTACAGTCAGACTGACCAAGAAAAAGAGATGACACAAATTACCACTATCAGAATTAAAGAAGAAACATGATCACATAGATATCTTGGTAAAACTGACTCATGAAGCAAGAGAAAACATGAAATATCCTGTATTTATTTTTTAAATTTTCCCAAAAGAAAATTCTAGAACCAAAATGATTTCACTGATGAATTATATCAAACATTTAATGAAGAAATACCAATCTTAACCAAACTTTTTCAGAAAATAAAGGATCACTTCTTAATTTATTTTATGAAGCCAAAATAAACTTGATACCAAAAGCTGACAGCAGTATGAGAAATAAAAACTACAGATCAATATCCCTCATGAACACAGATATAAAACCCTCAATAAAATATTAGCAAATTAAATCCAGTAATATAAAGTATAATATAAATATATTGCCTAGTAAAGTTGATCCCAAGAATGCAAGATTGCTTTAACATCTGACTATCAACACATTTCACAATATTTCTTTAAAAAAAAGGAGAGAAAAAATCATCTGTTCATCTCAACAAATAGAAATAACACCTGACAAAATTCAACATCCATTCATAAAAAACACTCTCAGCAAACAAGAAATGGAAGAAAATTTCTTCAGATAAAATCCATCTAATCCTCCCCCCCATATTTAACATAATACTTACTGTTAAGATAGTGAATGATTTCTTTCTAAGATTAGGGGACTAGGCAAGGATGACCACTATAGCCACTTATATTCAGCATTGTACTAGAATTCTTAGTTAATAAAATATGGCAAGAAAATAACATGACTGTGTATACAAAAAAGCCAAATGAACCAATCTATAAGAGAATTAGCAGAACTAAGAATTTATCAGCATCACAGGGTAAAAGGCCAACATTCAAAACTTAATTGATTTTCTCCAGGCCAGCCTTGATGTTCATACCTGTATCCCAGGAGTTTGGGAGGCTGAGGAGGGCAGATCACCTGAGGTCAGGAGTTTAAGACCACCCTGATCAACATGGTGAAACCCTGTCTCTACTAAAAATGTAAGAATTAGCTGGGCATGGTGGTGGGTGCCTGTAGTCACAGCTACTCAAGAGGCTGAGGCGAGAATCACTTGAACCCAGGAGGCAGAGGTTGCAGTGGGCTGAGATCTCGCCATTGTACTCTA